TCACATTCCTGCCTGGACCGGGTGCCACCCTTTTCTTAACATTTTCTGAGACACCTTAGGAGCGCAAGGTCCTTTTTCACGGCCACGTCTTTGAGTTCGCCCAGTAGGTCCAGCACCTGCACGTTTTCTTCTGAAGTGCCCATGCCGAGATCTTCCAGGAGCTTCTGAGTGGTCTCCAATTCAGACTGCAGGGCGTCTAGGGCGGGGGAAGCGGTCGTGAGCGATGGACTGCACGGTGCCCAAGCAACAGACGCACAGATGAGCGGCCGGCTAGATTTTTCTCTCTTCAAGCAGTGCTCTGCTAGAGCTCACAGGCAAGAAGGGTAAGCAGAGGAAGACACTCGTGCACTGGTACTTCTCTGTCCTTGGCCAGAGATCACGGTGGCCTGAGACAGTGGGACAGGCATGTCCACCAGGTGCTCATTCAAACAGACCTAGATGCCACTCTGGTCGGCCTTGGAGCACTCCACGTATGAGCCTGCCTCCCAAGGCCAACCTGGCACGGCCCGCCCCACCCCTTCCGTGCTGCCTGGGTCTGCATGGGGGTCTGTGACAATACATAGTTGACCCTTGAACAAATCCGAGGTTAGGGCTGCCACCTCCCCCCGCCACCATAGCAGTAGAAAATCCACATATTACCGTTTTTGTTTTAGAGAGAGGGTCTGTCGCCTGGGCTACAGTACAATGATGCAATCATAGCTCACTGTGACTTCAAACTCCTGAGCTCAAGTGTTGCTCCTGCCTCAGCCTCCCAAGCAGCTAGGACTACGGGTGTGCCACCATCATGCCTAGCTAATTTTCCCATTTTTTGTAGAAATAGACCAGCTCTTGCTCAGGCTGGTTTTGAAATCCTGGCCTCAGGCGATTCTCCTGCCTCGGCCTCCCAAAGTCCTACCACGACGCTGCCTGCAAGGGTGGGAGGCGGCCCAGCCAGAACGCTCGGCTCAGAGCCCGGTCGCACGTGTGGCTGACAACCGACCTGGGCGTCAAGCGCCTCCTCCAGCTCCCGCTTCTTCTGGCAGAGGAGAAGTCTGCGCCGCAGCTCGTGGGTCTTTCTCTGCAGCTCCTCCTTCTCTTTGCACAGTTTTAATAAGTGTTTTTCGGCCTCTTCTTCGAACCGAGCAAGACCCTTCTCCATCTGTTAAACGGGAAACGAAAGCTCAGGCTGGAGGGGACTCCCTCCCCGGGTCATCGAGGCCCCCTGGCACCACGGCACACGCGACCAAGGACTGCTCTCACCTTGACCGCCAGCAGAGTCAGCAGCAGCGTCTGCGACTCCATCATCTCCATCTCTTCGGACCGGGTCTTGAGAGGAGGAAAAACACCACAGAAAGGACCTCACCGCTCTGCGGAGCGGGCAGGCCACGGTGGGCCGGTGGCCCTGCAGCCCCGCCAGCCACCGATTCGCACGTGTAGGGCCCAGGACTCAGGCCGGCCCCGCAAGAATGCCTTTCGGCAGGACAGGAGATCACTGTGAATCCCACAGCCCTGGACAAATCCCAAAAGTCGCTTACTCAGGGCAAGACCCTGGAGGAACCACAGCCTGGCCGGTCCCCACCATCCTCTGCCACTAGACGGGAAAGCACACTTGTCACGACCACGTCAGGCCCACGGGAAGCACTGGCACGCGCTCCTCACCGCCGCAGCCTGCGCAACGCAGCCGGGACGTCCCGTTTCCTACCTAAGAACTGCTGCCCGTCGCCCTCCAGGTGGATCGCCCTCACGGGCAGCTCGTGCCGGGTGGCGTCCAGGGCCGTGGCGAGCGTCCTGTACTGCTCCTGGAAGCGTTCGCCCACTGCCTCGAAGGGACTGAGCATCTCCATCTGCAAGCAGGACGGGAGGGGGCTGTGGGAGGGGCCCTGCGGTCACCAGCCCGGAAGTGGAAGGGCTCGTGCAAGGGTAAGCTACGGCACTGCTCTTGCACGAGCCCCAGGGATCGGAGCTCGGGAAGCCTCTGAAGGGACAGGGGCGGGGGCGAGCTCTCCCCTCCCGCCAACGGCCCAGCAGACAGTAGGGTGGCGCAGGCTCCTCACTGTGAACACGGGTCCCCTTCCAGTGTGTTCTGGGCCTGGGCCCTCAACTGGGATCACAACGGACCAGGAAGCTGGGCTCCTGCTTCTCTGTCCCTTGGCCAGAGATCACGGTGGCCTGAGACAGTGGGACAGGCATGTCCACCAGGTGCTCATTCAAACAGACCTAGAATGCCACTCTGGTGTCCTCGACAGAAACCAGTGCAAGACGCAGGAAAGGCCACGCTGTGCCAGCGTCACCCGGGGTCTCCCAGCCAGGCCAGGAGCAACTTTAAAATCCCCTCCTTTGTACTACTGACCCTAGCAGCCCTGCATCCCCTGAGCCGAGGGACACGCGCAACCCAAGTATGTACGCCACGTGCATTCCGACCACGCACCTCTCCCCCTCGGACACACGTCATATCTAGGCCAGCTGTACGTCGGGATCACGTTCTGGGACCCCGAGGGCCTCGAGAACGGCATCTCCGTCCTGCTGTGGACTGAACTGTGTCCCCAGGCTCCGTCCTGCTCGCAGCTCCCTGCGAGCCTGAGCTCAGCTGGACACGGGGTCTCTGCGGACGGGGCTGAGTCAAGCTGAGGTCACTAGGGTGGGCTCTAATCCAGTAACTGGTGTCCTTACAAGGCGAGGGGAGTTGAGATAAGGAGACACGGAGGGAGAAGGCCACGTGAGGACCGGGCAGAGACTGGAGTGACGCAGCCACAAGCCAAGGAGCGCCGGCAACACCAGAGTCCAGGAGGGAGGCCGGGCTCGCTCCTCCCCTAGAGCCTGGAGGGCACTAGTCCTGCCAACGCCGATCCCCGACTCTGGCCTCCCGGACTGGGAGGGAACACGTTTCTGCTCCTTTGGGTTGCCTGGTCCTGGCCATCTGTTGCGGCAGCCGCAGCAAATGCATGGAGTCGCTAGTCCCGCTCCTGGCAATGCCCACGGCGCTTAGCAGGGACGGAGCCCGAGAGTTACGGCCGCGGAAGGGGCTGCAGTCGCCACAGAACCAGAAACCCGGACACTGACAAGCATCCACCAAGGGCAAGTTGCACACGCCCGTGCGATGAGTCATGTGGCCATGATGCCCTTCTCACAACGACGTGCAACAGAGAAGCGTGCACGCAGTAAGTGGGAAACCGCGACACGTGTGGCTCGATGTCGAGTCTGTTTACGTGCACACCGTGCTGCGCTAACATGGAAAGAAAACACGCCAACGGACAAACCGCGACATTGCCCACAAATGTCACTTTTTTCTTTACAACTTGGCTCGTTTTCCAAAGTTCAGCGTCATGCCTAGACTGTGTCACACTGGAAAAAACTCGACTCACTAAACCCTTTCTGCCCGCGGCTGCCAATCGAGCAACACCCTTTGGGACCCTGGACCGAGGCTTCACTCTGCTTCGGATGCGCTGCCGGCGGGGCGCGGGGAAGCCCCTGTGCGTCTCACACACCGTGCTCTACCGCGACAGCCTCAGGCAAAGCCTACTGCGATGACGCAGGAGAGCTCTTCCTAGGAACACCCAGGCTCCGGGCAGCCGAAACCCTCTCCAGGAGCACACCTGTTCTGAAGAGGGCTGGGGCTGGGGCGTGGCAGTTTTCACACTTGCCAAGGGCTTCCAGTGGGCCAGGCAGGAAACCCGTGCATGGATCTTTTGGGATGCGGACCCCGTGGTAAGTGAAGGAGCGTCTGTACTTTCGGGGCCTGCTGAGATCTGCTGCAACCCCCAGCTAGTGACAGGAGGGGGAGACGGACGACTCACCGTTGATGGCGGAGAGGTCCAGGTCGGGTGGGGCCGAGCCGTGCCCTTCCAGCAACGTGGACTGCAGGTCGCCCTTCCCGGCCCCGCTGCGGTCTGCTGTCCAGACACGAGACCCGGCAAGTCAGCACGGACAGTTCGGAAACTCAGGCGGCTTTTTTAACAATACCACTCCTCCCCCAAACCCCAATTTCTTCCCACGTAGCAGAAAGGACTGAAAATCCCTGAAACTCCCAGCCAGCAACTTGAGTCTATTTGTAAAGTACGGTGAGAAAAGGGACATTCTTTATAACTAACAGAAACAAACAAAAAGGAGGCAAATAGGCCTTTCTGCCGGCGTAGAAGATGCTGAGGGCCAGGACGGCGCTGCCGCCTGCCTCTGCCCTCCACGTTCTCGGCTGCTTTCTCCTGCTCCTGGTCCCTGGGAGAGCCCGAATTCAAAACCGTGAGATCCTGCTTTACACCGTCTATGCACTGCAGCCGCACGGGCCCAGCGCGCTGCAGACGTCGGCAGGTGGCATGCACGACACCGCCTCTCGTGTTGGGACGGAACACGGACTGTGCAGCTGGGAAAACATGACCTGGACACGGGAAGAAGCCTCGTGCAGAGCTGCCACGGCTGCAGCGGAGGCACGCACGCGAGGACTTGGACAGAGAGCCAGGGCGAGTGCCACGCCGAGGAGGGGCCTTCCTGGACTGAGCGCACGGATGCGCCTTGAGCACCAGATACACCGACGGCGACTGTCGGAACAGCAGATCGAGAGTGAGGTCCCCAACCTCCTCATTTTCCATTTTTTACAGTGAATTCCTGTCATATCCACAGGGAGGAAAACTAAAAGATTTTCACATCACTCTGGTGGCAGCTTCTAGGAGGAGGGGTGAGGACAGACCACCCAGCTGCTGGCACAGGGGACAGGGAAGGCGACCCAGGGTGGTGAGGGGAGGATGAAGCCTCACATCCTCTCTGAGAGTGCTGCTCTCGCAGTGCCAGTGGGGACTGCCACGCAGACAGGGATCTGATCCACCAAGGGAGCCGCCACGTGCAAGCGGGTCTTCTCTGGACCACAAAGGGG